TGATGGCCGAGATTTCATCTCATCAGTTAAATCAAAAGACCTGATCACATGTACCCATGTTTCTCAATGTGCAGTACGTTTTCGGTGATTGTTTCACCTTGATGCTTGTTACCAGCTTAGTCGACCTCACTTTTAGGACATATTTGTGACATTTAATGACCTAACCAAATACTTCAACATAATCTGAGACAAGTGGAATTCTTCTAAGACCTCGTCGAGAAGTATAACAGTTAATGCAAGAATTTGCTGTGATTAAGATCATTTTAATAGGCGACAGTTTGGTGAAATTAATCATTCTGTAAACATTTGGTCAATGAATAACACGGAACTACAATTTTCCCTGTAAAAAGACCCTGTTTTAGTTCTTGACTGAATAAATGAAAACCAGAAGATGAACGAGTATACCAATATGTCCTCAAAGAAACAGTCATTCATTTTGTATCATTCTGCAGAGAATTTTGATAAAATAATTTTCAGATCCTGAAATAAAACCACGTTATACATGGGAAATACATTTGTTGCGGATTTTTTACCGCAAGCATTGAGTTACTTTAGTAAATTAAGTAGTCAGAAGATGCATCTGGAATATTTGGACAATGACGTGAAGAAGCATCAATGAATAACTTCAGTGAATAGATTGTGGTTCATATGTCAGTACTAATCAGTGATACAACTTCACAATGAAGCACAATGTCCTCGTATTCAAAACGAATGGTAAGGAAAGTTGCATGCGCAAAGATCGATTTTCCGAAACTAAAATATTTTATCGATACCTGATCCTTTGGACTACAAAATCAGGCATTTAAAATCATTTACGGTGAATTAAAAATGTTCATAAAATCATGAAAAATAGAAAGCGTTTAGTGATGTCATTCTCAACCTGTACAGCCAAATATATGTATACTGCCTAACAAATCTCAGGAAAAAGTGGGGATCGACATCGATACATACATAAACAAATACGTACAACCATACATAGTTAGATCAAAAGACCTCATCAAGCTATTGTCCAAATATACCAGACGCATCTATTGACTACTTAATTTACTAAAGTAATTCATTGCTCGCTGTGAAAATCTGCATTAATCGTTAGGAAAAAACGCAACATATGTATTGCCAGTATATACCGCTGTTTGATTTCAGCATCTGAAAATTATTTGATTAAAATTCTATGTAGAATGATACAAAATGAATGACTGTTTCTTTGAGGACATATTGGTATACTCGTTCATCTTCTGGTTTTCATTTATTCAGTCAAGAACTAAAACAGGGTCTTTTTACAGGGAAAATTGTAGTTCCGTGTTATTCATTGACCAAATGTTTACAGAATGATTTATTTCATCAAATGGTCGCCTATTAAAATGATCTTAATCACAGCAAATTCTCGCATTAACTGTTATACTTCTCGACGAGGTCTTAGAAGAATTCCACTTGTCTCAGATTACGTTGAAGTATTTGGTTAAGTCATTAAATGTCACAAATATGTCTCAAGACACAGTGATTCCCAAACTAGGATGAAACAGCAGCTGTCCAGTACTCCCTGATTTTCAATGGTTCTCTAATTGATATCAGTCCGTGATCAACTCGTAAAACATAACTAATCCTTACAAACCAAACTATAGAAAATTATTCTGATGCTCGCTAGTGACTTCCTACAGGTTGGAGTTTCCTGCAGTTCTAGTGAGAAGTCGTGACCAGTGAGGTCCAATTAGAAGTCACGCGTGGATGGATTTCCACCAACGACAATAGTTGGGGTCGCGGTAAAATCACGAATTGGTAGAAGTTAGAATTCATGAGCCATTAAATCGGGTCCCAGTGGCTGGATGTTATACGAACTTGCCTTGTAACCGGAAGGTCCTGGGTTCGAATCCCAGTGGGTGCGTACTGCCGATGATTCCCAAATTAGGATGAAACAGCAGCTGTCCAGTACTCCCTGATTTTCAATGGTTCTCTAATTGATATCAGTCCGTGATCAACTCGTAAAACAGTGAAACGTGTTAACAAGCAATATTCTAGTGATATGCCTGAAGTAAACACAACTTCACTTTTTTTAATGTCAAAGTTCTGAAATATTTCAAATCTTGAATAGGCTTCGAAGATATGTTTGAAGTACTGAAAAAGAGTGAATTCGATCCAAGATCCTAAAATATCCTTAATGAATTCACGACGTACAATCATTCCTATGAAAATTACTGGAAAAGGATTCTTTTTAGTTTCCATCTGTATTTCAGATAACTTGTGGGTCTCTCCTTCACTAAAGAGAGTAGGGTTGTAAGTTCGCAAGACGCCGAAACTGTATTGAACTATGTAGATCAGAATGGCTTTTGTACTGCTGTTGGGCAGACAGCAGACGGTAGGAAGATCTCTAGAGGGATTTTATTCCCTGACCTCAGAAATTAGGTGAAATACACTAAGGAGAATGCTGTTTGACATCACACGTTGGGCACTTGACTAGAAATCAGATTGGAAAGCAAAGGATTGGATATCCAATGACAGGTTTCATAAGAGCATCAGTAACGAACTGTGGAGAATCAGTTCAGAGGAAGTCATGTCGTTGAAGTATTCAAAATGCAAAAAACGTATAATAGTAATAACAACTGATGTCATTATTATAATGGACTCCATTCTTTGAATGAATGTAGTGACATCAGAATGAGCTATAACTTATTTATTATAGCTATTGATATATATTGCCGTTTTCAAAAGCCTAGATGAATTTATAAAATATTTTGACTACCAAAAGCAGAAACCAGTGATCAGCCGATAATATGTCTCTCTATATATGTGAAATGTAACTTATTAGTTTCAAAAGCTGAATATTCATTCCATGTTTCCTGTCAATATTGACACCAGTTCCTGTTTGATTCGCAATACAACAATGAGAGGTTTGAACATTCAAATACTCAAGCAGGTAAGTTTGAAGTTTGCAAATCACTTGTGTTTGTTGTGTACTTCTCACTCAGGAACACTATGCATTATATGCCAGAACAATAATGAAGAATGGAACTTTTCAGTCATACCACAAATAGTGAAAAGTGATGTGAAGTTAAGGAATGTCATTAGATTTGCATTCTGCTGTCAAAATATGAATGGCATGAGTTTCTCATTCATGCACAGAACGCAGTCTCTTTGATGGTGTGAACAACACAAGACATATAGGTCATAATTAGGTATACCTACAGATTCTGATGAGTAATCAACATTCCTCAGTGTAGAGTTTGATTGATCACTTGTCCTTACAGAGACACATTTCAAATGATATTAGAATGATACATTGACTCCCATTATACCTACTCCTTGAGGGATCATAATATATGCTGCTCTAATTCGTTGCAATACAAACATCAGTGTGTACTAATATCGGAAAACCATTTACCCTATGTTGGTTCAGCGGTAGCATCTCTCACGAAACGTACACTCGGTCCATTGTTTGATTCCCGGCTGGCACACAGCTTTACGTCCCTTGGGCGATTTAAGCCCATCGAAGAGGAAAGAGTGAGTGTGAGGCTGGCAACCTACCTCGTAAAAAAACATCACTGCTACTGAAACTTTACAGTCCTAGCTTGAAGTTCCACATTCTATTCGGAATACTAAGTAATAATATACATACTTAATGATTGTTAAAAAGTGAATGTGATGCTTGCGAATTCCAGGGATTTCGGATTTGTTGGATGAAGAAAACACTTACTGGAATTTCATTCATTCACTGAATGTGAAACATAATACCACAAAGTCATAATTCTCAGGTTGAAGATGTGATCTAGGTTTCAGAATGTTAAGAAAAATTCACAATGAAGCTCAAAACTATGTTATGAATATGTGCCTGAATTAATCAACCAATGGAAGTGATTTTCGCGTGTTTCACAAAAATTGGAATTACGGTAATATTTAGTAAACGTGATCACTACTGATCCTGATGTAAATTGATGATGTATGCGTGGCTTTGTTTAGTGAACAGTGTGCTTAACATTCTTTTGTCTAACAGCAAGATTCTGAAGGATCACCAAACATAGAGAACTTCACCTGATTTCTTCGTGACAAGTCGATTTCCATTTATTGTGTTGTGAAAGACATGACAATTGAGAAAATCAAGTAGTCAGATTAATCTCATGTTTGCGGTCAATTATACAAATATTATATCCCATTACGCATAAATTTCACTATCCTACTCAGTTAGCACCATTTACACTGAAAATGGGTTTACACTGAATGAAGTGAGACATGGATCATTTTGAATCATACTGGTCTGTTCTCAGCATCCTGAATATTTCTAATGTTTCTGTCTATCGATGTGATACTTACATCCTAATAAACTGAGTTATTTGTGTAGAGCACTGCCTGCATTCACTGGTTATACGAGTAACATTCAATTAGCGTTAGGTCTTACTTTAAAAATGTAGGTGTTTCACGAGAACCCCGATTAAATGGTTGGGTGAAAAAATTACTACATAAGACCTAAAAGTCAAAACAGACCATTTATGGCATTTGAGAAAATTATGCTTCATATGAATGTTCATTTCATAAAATACACGGCTTCTTGATCTAAAAGAAACGAGTGGATCTACAGTGTAACTATCAGACTGAATGAAGTGACATCGTGGTAAATAATTGATTACTACCGATTACAGATTTTGGAATAACTGATGATTTTCTTTGGATTACTAAACTTCAGAGGTTTATGCAACATTCACACACTATAAATATTGCTGAACTAACTTTACAGTATTCCAGTAAATAAACATACGTTTTGTGTACAGGCACATACGTGTGCAATGATCTATAATCAGGCGACTACCCAGTACCATGTGATAGATGTTTACAGTTGTAGTTTTATGTATCTTAAGTGACTATTGACAAACCACTGTAGACTAAGGTATACTATCACTAACCAATTGGTGTTTTATCTAAATTACAATCACATTGGCTTGGCTCTGACTTTTATCGAAGGAGAAAGATATATAAGTAGAGGCAGATCAAATCAAATGATTCCAATGCTCAAAATGCTCTACAACACATTTGCAGTTGCTTTTCTCATTCTGTGTGCGCACAAGTATTCATTGTCTTTCAATAGTAAGTGTTCAGTGTGATAATTGTCTTCAGTGAAATATGCTTTCGTAATCGTAGTAGGAATGGTGTTGAATGATGTTGATCGATTTGCACATATTGACTGTATGCTTTATTCGGTCTGAATGCGAGTACACTTATTTTTCCTTCTTCAATTTCAGGTGTTTGCTTCCAAAGAATGGACGATGGCCCATGTAGGGCTAGACACCTACGATATTATTACAATTCGACCCTCGGTTCATGTATTGAATTCGACTATGGTGGATGTAAAGGTAACAAAAATAACTTCCATACGGTAGAGGACTGTCAAGAAGCCTGTGGAGAAAGGTATTTGCAGTTTGCATGAGAATTCTTTTCAAAAATGTCTCTTATTTTCACTCGTGTTTCACCAAAGCAACATCAACAAAAACATCAACAACAATAGGAAACTTTGTAGAATTGTCACTCTTCGAATATGTCTCACATAGGCAATAAAGAAGGCCATGATCTAGCATGATGCCTTGTTGAAAGCACTTCGGTCCAGTTCAAGGCGGTTCGTTTGCAAACTGTTTAGAGTCGAACGGTCTGGCGTGTTTGACTCTGCTGAATTCAGCTGAGCACTGGTAAATAATCAGGTGATAATCATCAGGTGGTATAAGTGATGCCGACTGAGAATGACAGGCGTCGAACAGGACGACTGAGCATGCCTGCTTGGCTATTCTCGACACCGAGTGACGAACAAGAGGACAGAAGCGTCGACTCCTTTCAATCCTGAACAATCCATTCCTGCGTTGAATCACGAGTTTTGAGTTTGTATTACCGATGTTGAACTGCTGTCATTTGTAAAACTAGTTTTCAATAGATGAACATCGAAACGCACTTATTCAAAATGCTTTTCGTTTCTCTTTCAGCGGCCGATTTGATCCAAGTAAGTGCCTTCCACTTGAGATGTCCTGATGATTCATACTGTGCCTGCATATTCAAAATTCACTGACTAGAACCATGTGAGACTACAAAATGAGGCTACTGATGGTGTCGAATGAATTTCGGCACACTGTCGTAAGTCCTCCGAATAAGTCATGACAATCTAAGTCATATTGTTTCGCAATACATCTTGATGCAATCTTATCTCTACTAATGCCTTATAAATGTTTGAATACTTCCAGATGACTGCAATCTGCCAAGCGACACAGGAAGATGCCGGGCTAACCACATCCGTTACTTCTATAATAAGATGACAAAAGAATGCGAAGAATTCACATATGGCGGTTGTGATGGGAATGGAAATAATTTCGAGAGTGAGGAGGAATGTCAGGCCAAATGTGGAACAAAGTAAGTTTCATTGTATATATTTTATAAGACAGATGTCCTATGGTTTTCCAAAATAAATCATATACTATACTATATTTCCATCGTACACCATTACAACTGCTCTGAGTATAACGTGACTACTTTTTGCAGCACTGCACTCTTTATAATAATGAACACTTCAAAAACAATTATCTTCCACAGATAAGGATGATTTGAGATGTCTTCAAAACACTCTTTTCTGCTCAACGCTATTTTGAAACAGAAAATTCTATTGCAAATATAATCATGTTCTATTTTTCTATTGTCAGTGCATGACATCAGTTGTTTGAAGCTAAACATAGGAAAGAATTCATGCTAAATGACACCAATAGTCATCAATGCAGGTATTCAATACATAAAAATCTTATAATTATCTAAATATCCTACCCACTGAATTTTCGCAAATAATAGATTCGTGTTGCGTAGCCAATAATCAATGCATCCAGCTTGTCCACATTGTCAAGACTTATGAAGAACCAAAAGGTCAGAACTATCGCACTAACGTTATAGTATTACGTTTAGGATCATTCCTCTTGGTACATCTAACAATAAATTCCAGTCCAGATATAATTGATTAAGTTTGAAAATATGCTCTGTAAGGATTCTGTGTAGAGTAAATATTAGCGTCACACTTGTAGATTAGACCAGTAGTTCACCGAAGACCCTCTTTTCGAAGAATTAATTTTCACAGCTGTACAATCACTAATATATATATATTTGGTTATTTCGTATGTGTGTGTACATTAAATTTGTCAAACGAAATTACAATTAGTAATATTTTGGTAGAGTTAGATGTTGATGCAATAGGGTAGTAACAAAAGTGATGGAGTTTGATGAAACAATTGTGCTCCGTGTGTACGTTAGAACAAAATAAATTACGGAATTCTGTAAGAGTTTCAAAGGAATACATGAGTTTTAAGTAATTAGAAAAAACAACTTATACAGTGTCCTCGAGAATAACCGACATGAAATCTGCTTTAGTTCTAAGAAGACTCAAAAATAACATTACTATAATTGACGTATTTATTCAGTATATTTGCCTAAAAAATTGAGAAATTATTTGAGAAACAATTGTAAAATAAGACTTCTACGGCATTACCACTGTACGTTTATTAGACCACAAAGCAGAATATCGACAATGCATTACATATGAAAATATGCTGCTCCCTATAAGCGAGTAAATTAAAGGTTTTAAAGTGACATATAAAATCTATTTCCCTAAACAACGTAAGTGAAATCCAGTTTGGATGGAAGGAATCTAAAACCAAGGTGTGAAACAACAACACTAATAATTTCAGCCCCCCTTAGTTTGAATCATATGAGTATCGAATTTTCTGTACTTTGGTACAGCAGTATTCATTTTCAAAACACATTTTGGTTGTTGCAGATGTTAATTTTGCTTATATACGGATTGATTTCGCTTTCTGAATGTGTTCATCAAAGCATAATTTTGTAGCTGATTTACTGTTTCTAAGCACCCTGTATAGTATGCACATGAATTCAAATACATTTCGATTGAGGCAAATGATAGTAAGACCTACTCGTTGGTATGCTGCTCCAGTCTGATTAGAAAACAATGCTTCATGGTTTCAAATGGCTTGCATAAGCATATTAGTGTTCAATATACATTCTTGAATTTCATCTGCAACTGCCATTCAAGAAAACTGATATCTTAATGTAATAACAGAATCTGAAGAAAACCCATGAATTTGATCAATCCCTCCCACTTATTCAACTTTTTAGGACTCAGTTATTATTTGTTACACAGGCAGGAAGAATAATACCTAATTTTGTGGACAGACCGCTTACTGAAAATATACATGTACATATATATATATATATACATGTGCTTGTTTATTGCATTATTAGCCTTGGAACCAGTAAGTTAATGTTTTAAACATAACTCTCCTGGAACATTGAAATTGAGATTTAATTAACACACCTGAGTAAAATAATATAAAAACAACAACCTCTTGAAATATTGTATTCAATTTACAAAAAATATGCTCTAATTTTAACTGAAATGGCGTCCTATATCACGAATTCCAAGTAACTTGAAAGTGAGCCAAGTGAAGTCTGTTGGCACTACTGCATAAAAGTTCATTACAATCATTTTCGAGAACACTAATAAATAGTTCGTCAGAGCATAAATAATGGGGTAAAGCAGATTTTCATTTATCGGTGAACAGAAAATAAAACAGATATTCTATTAATATCAGTAAATAGTTTGAGCATTGTGGATTAGATCAAATAAAGTATAATCATATTTCAATAGTTTACACACAATAATAAGTTTTGTTATTGGTGATATTTCGAGCAAAATTACTGCCCGTGTTCACACCACTGTTGGAATTGTTTTATTCACACATTATATTCCACGTTCATTCACGCTTTTGTATTCAGAATTATATTCAAAGTTGTTGATAGTTGTACTGAGTCACTCTTGTTACATGTATCCGCTGTGACTTTAATGAATATCGATTCTGTTATAAGTCTTTCTTTCCATTTGTTCATGTTAGTTTTTAGAATGCTCACATTGTCCCAATCCACACTGTGGTTTTTGTACCATGCATGTGCAGCTATCGATGAATTTTTTTCAAGATTTTTGTAGGCTTGTGTTCCTGTTGGTGGACCTTTGGTTAGGCGTTTATGTTCATTCACTCTTATTTTGAGTGATCTGGACGTTTGCCCCACATATTTAGTCGGACAGTCAGCACAAGATATTTTATAAATCAAGTTGTTTTTATCCATCATTTTTATGGGATCTTTCAGTTGATTTATTTTATTTTTGATTAGATTTGTCGGTTTAAAAGTTGTGTGAATGCCGATATTTCTGAGGTTTCTTTGAATTGCCTCTGATGTACCATTTTTATATGGTATTGTGACTGTTTTTTTGCATTCTTCCATCTTGTTATTCTCCGGTTTTACCCTCTTTTTTATATTATCTTTTATAAATTCTTTTGGGTAGTTGTTTTCGAGTAGCATCTTGAATAGGACGTTTATTTCTTTACACTGGTCCTCTGGCGTTGTTGTAAGTCTACGTATTCTATCTGCAGGACCTTGTATCAATCCTCGTTTCACCGTGAGTGGATGAGCTGAGTGATAATCGAGGAATCTTCCAGAGTGTGTGGTTTTTCTATATAGCGTCGTTTTAATGCTGCCATCTGTTATTCTTTGTATTTTGCAATCTAACATAGGCAGTTCCCCAATTTCATTCTCTACTTCCATAGTGAATTTTATTGAGTCGACATGGCTGTTTATGTGTGAGAAGAGTTTCTCAATATCGTTTTATAGTGAAAAAAGCACTAATGATCCTAATTCACTGTCATCAACTTCGTGGTTTTACTCGAGTATAATATTATTTCCCACACATGTTTATTACCTCGTATCTAGCCATTGGCGAACGTGGATTCACATTTTAATTGTGTTTGTTTAAAACGCAACTCTTGAAAATGAACCTGTCATCAGACTTTTACACATTTACTTTCCCACTTTTAGTCACCACTAGGAGTAAGTTTTGGTTTTCATTGGGTTTTGCATGAAACGATTCGATCAGTGTTCCTTAACTTCAGAAAACAAGTGGAACAGCGTGTATGCACATAACTCAGTAAACGTAAACATGTGATCACTATTCAACACAACAAATCTATGTCCAATTTACGATACAACGTTAATCAGCGTATGCACATAATCAAAGAGAACACTTCAGCAGTTCTCATTGATCTTAGAAAACGAAGCAGTTTTATAACTAATAATCACTGGAGTATACAGCTGTCATAATCAAGCAATGTACAAGTTCCCGTCCCTAACAAACCACCATGGATCTATTTTCTTCCTCACGGCAAGTGTTTTATTAGTAATTTGGAACTCAGCACATGTCATATGTGACATTTAAGTTGAACCAGTTGTTAGTATGTTGAAAACGGCTTGGTGTGAAACAGCTGACAACATTTCAAGCACTGCTAATTATTAGGCTGAGGTATTTATGTTACAACAAGGAAATCCCAAAGTTTCGGATTTTCCCCAATAGTACCTGTAAATAAATTCATCGACAAACGTCAGATTAAGTAAATCAAAGTCTCTCGAAATTCCACACCTGTATATGTCGACCAATACTCAGCTGCATTCAGACATGATGTTATGTGCTTACCGAATTCCAACAAATTTCATGAGTCGCAAGAAACAACCATGGGACTGTTCTCATAAGAAAAATCATGAATATGCATACTGCTTCTGAAGCCTGTACATACTCAGATGTTATAATCTAATCAGTGAGATAATATTGAAGCTGTTTAAGACAAGTGAGGATGATACGTGAAGTGTTAATTCCTTTCCTGAATACGCTGGATACCATTTCAATTTAGGAATAAAGTATACTTTATCCACCCACTATGGTTATTATCAAGTATTCAATTTATTCCAGAAGAGGTAGTGAAGTCAGTTGAACCAAATATAAATAAGACGTGTTAGTTGTAGTATTATCAAGAACACCAACTTCGCATATGTATGTTGCATATCTGTTTCAAACAATGACATGCTACCCAATCTGTTTGAATCAGCCTCGAAAACACTTGAAAT